ACTGACCCTCTGACAGTGCGGCACTCCCTCAGTACTGACCCTCTGACGGTGCGGCGCTCCCTCAGTACTGACCCTCTGACAGTGCGGCACTCCCTCAGTACTGACCCTCTGACGGTGCGGCGCTCCCTCAGTACTGACCCTCTGACAGTGCGGCATTCCCTCAGCACTGACCCTCTGACAGTGCGGCACTCCCTCAGTACTGACCCTCCGACAGTGCGGCACTCCCTCAGTACTGACCCTCTGACAGTGCAGCACTCCCTCAGTACTGACCCTCTGACAGTGCAGCACTCCCTCAGTACTGACCCTCTGACAGTGCAGCGCTCCCTCAGTACTAACCCTCTGACAGTGCTGCACTCCGTCAGTACTAGATTGGAAACATCAGCCTGGATTATGTGATGGAATTATTGAAGTGGAGCTGGAAGCTTGGATCTTGGACTCAGGGCTGAGCCCTCAGTAACGAACGAGGAGGTAGGAAGCTGCTGGATTACTGCAAACCCCCAGGCACCACTCAATCAAGGCGAGTTACCTCAACCAGTGCAAATTTCTCCTCACTCGTGTAGTTATAGCGAGTCGCTCGCTCATACTCTTCCGCCGTGCCCGGACAATCCTTGTTACAGAATTTATCTGTGGGATGAACCAACTTCCAGGAATACTGTTCAAAACAGAGTGTGTGTTAGAGGCGAGCATTCAAACATAGATGGGGGTGTGGGTTATACTGGCCAGGTCTGTATGTATTCCCTACCTCCCTTGTCTTGGGAAAACATCCTTCCATTGTTTCCTAAGATTGACATCATGGGAATGTCACTAATCCAGAGGCCTAGGCTTATGCCCCACGGACAGGGCCTCAAATTTAATTGAACTGTAATTTATAAATCCAGAATTTATAGCTATTCCCAACTGTGACAATCATGACAACCAGCATCAACTGTTCAAAGGAAGTCATTTGATTCCTTTAAGGAGGGAAATCTGCCATCCTTACCCAGTCTGGCCCACAAGTGACTCCAGGCTCACGGGTGACTGTCAGCTGCCCCTCTGCAATGGTATAGCAAACTGCTCCGTTCGTTCAAGGGCAGTTAGGGATTTGCATTAAATGCCGGCCCTCACAGCGAGGCCCACGCCCTGTGAATGAACCAGAATGACCACTGGCCTGAGGTTGAACACCACCATCTCCAGGTCTCTCACATTCCTGACTGGGGCATTATCATCACCAAAGTCTCAGGCCCAGAGGCCTGCAGTGGTTTGAGGAGTCAGCTCACTAAGAGGACCTCAGGATGAAAAATAACCCCTGGCCTAGCCAGGGATGTACTAGGAAGGCAAATAGTCAATGGGCCTTCATCGCAAGGTTTGATTTAAGTTCAGGAGTAGCTATGTCTTACTGCAGTTATACAGGACCTCAGTTAAATCACACATGGAGTATTCTGTGCAGTTTTGGTCTTTTTACCTTGGAAAAGATATACTTGCCGTAGAGTGAGGTTCAATGGACTGATACTGGGAATGGCAGAAATCTGTTATGAGGAGAGGACTGGTCTGTATTCACTGGAGTTTAGAAGGATAGGATGGGATCTGATTGAAAGGTGTAAAATTCTCACAGGGCTGTACAGACCAGATACAGAGAGGATGTTTCCTCTGGGAGGGGAGTCTCGAACCAGGGACACAGTCTTAGGGTATGGGGTAGATCATTTAGAGCTGAGGTGAGGAAACATTTCTTTACTCAAAGGGTGGTCACCCTGTGGAATTCTCTACCACAGGAGGCTGTGGATAGCAGGTTAGTGGCTGTATTCAAGGCGATAGATACATTTTTCAATATGAGAGGCATCATGGGGTTTTAGAATAGATTTGTAGCTCGGGTTGTGGATGTTGTGGTTGGTTGGCTCGCTAAGCTGGTTCGTTGTTTCACAGGCGTTTCATTACCCTGCTGGGTAACATCTTCAGTGCAGCCTCCGATGAAGCGCTGTTGTGTTTTCCTGGTTTTTAAACTCTGGAATCTGTTGAGCTGGATTACCTCACTTCCGGTTTTCCTTCGCAATGGAGTGTACATGGGGTCGAGCTCTATACGTTTATTAATGGCTTTCTTCGTGGAGTACCAGGATCCTTCCAGGACCTTGGTGTTGTCTGGGACAAGCAAAGCAGAGACAAGCACGGGAATTCCTAGAAACCTGGTACTCCACAAAGAAAGCCATCAACAAACACTTCGAGCTCGATCCCATATAGACTCCACTGCAACGGAAAATCGGAAGTGAGGTAGTCCAGCTCAACGGACTCCAGAGTTTAAAAACCAAGAAAACACAACAGCGCTTCATCGGCGGCTGCAGTGAAGACGTTATCCAGCAGGGTAATGAAACGTCTGCAGAACAACGAACCAGCTCGGCGAGCCAACCAACCATCTTGGGATTTTGGACAGAAAGCAGGAATATGGCATTGAGATAGACAATCAGTCATAATGAATGGCAGAGCCAGTTTGATGGATGGAATGGCCTATTCCTGCTCCCAGTTTCTATCCTTCCACATTCACGAATGGATAAGTAACTGGATAGGATTGAGGAGAAGTGAGGAGTTGGGGGTGACAGATATGGAGAGGACAGAGTTTTGGTAGAAAATACAGTGTGAACTTGCAGCATTGACATTGAACATGGGTCAGCTGGGTGAATGGGCTGGAAACCTCCAAACACAGGTTTTTAAAATTCATTCACAGGATGAGGGCATCGCTGGCCAGGCAGCATTTATTGCCCATCCTTAATTGCCCAGGGGGCAGTTAAGAGTCAACCACATTGCTGTGGGTCTGGAGTCACATATAGGCCAGACCAGGTAAGGATGGCAGTTTCCTTCCCTAAGGGACATCAGTGAACCAGATGGGTTTTTTCATTAGATTCATTATACTCTTAATTCCGGACTTTTTTAAAAATGCAGATTCAAATTCCAACCTCTGCCCGAGTCCCGAGAATATTATCTGGGTCTCTGGAATTACAGTCCAGTGGTAATACCACAAGGCCGTTGCCTCTCTCTCCCCCCACCACCCAGTGAACACATTATCATTATATCATTTAGCTCTCACCACTTCCATGACGTGAGTACTCCACTTGGAGAGAAGCTGCAGGCCTCGCAGCGCCAAATCAAACAGCTCTCGGTATTCCTCGTCCGATTTCTGGCTGTCCAGGCCTGATCCTGTAACAACCTGCACAGAAAGACTCCAGGGTCAGTCATGGGCAGGGAGCCAGGGTGGGGTCAAGAGAAACTGCAACCCCCACCCCACCCCCCAAACACTTCCTCATCAGCTCAGATTAAAGAGCTGAATGAAAATCTTTTAGAATCCCTACACAAAGAGACCGTTCGGCCCATTGACTCCCCAACGAGCATCCCACCTTATACCCGTAACCTTGCATTTAGCACGGCCAGTCCACCTAGCCTGCACATCTTTGCACTGTGGGAGGGAACCGGAGCAAACCCACGCAGATGTGGGGAGAATGTGCAAACGCCCCACAGACAGTTACCCAAGGCTGGGATCAAACCTTGGTCCCTGATGCTGTGAGGCAGCAGTGCGAACCACTGAGCCACCCTTGTCTCCTGATGAAGGAAATCCTGAATAAAACACTGGCCAGGCCTCCACTGGAACCAGTGCTGACTCCACACTTTGGGAAAGACGGCCAGATTTAAGGGAATGGCCCAGGGATAAAGGACTGGGTAGAGTGACAGGAGAAAGTTCCATTTTTAGCAGACAACATTCCAAGTGATTAAATAGTGGTATTGACAATAAAACGCTGAAGGGAGAAAAGGAAAACCAACAGTATAGGTATGTATCACAAAAACATACTAACGACTGGAAAATGTGAACATGCGGTTGGATATCATGTGTATTAGTTTGAAAATGATTGGATAATATAGTCATGTGTACTAACTTGGAATGTAAACCATACACAGTGGGTGAGTGAATGTTTAACCTTTCAATTAGAAATTATCTGTAGGGCACAGGTGATTGGAAGCCTGTTCTCTTTAAAACTGTATAAAACCTTTGTTTGTGCCGTAAAGCTTTGAGGTGTATGAAATATTTGGATGTGTACAGCCTCCATGTAAACATTAATAAATGTTGAAACAAAGAAACCTGAGGCTTATCTGGTCCAAGAGGAAGTAAAGGTTTAAAATCACCCTTTCAAGAGTTTTGATAAAACTCTAAATCAGCTGCAACTGGGTAGGCAGGTCAGTAACAGGGGAGTTAAAATAATTGGCAACATTTATTCTCCTTTACACTATGCGTTGTGATCTGGCATGCACTGTGTAGACAGAGATTTGAAGCAGTGTCATTCCATACAGGAGTGGTTGAACATACGCTACAGAAAGGGTGCACGCAGACATGATAGCACAGGAGGAGGCCAATCAGTCCACAGGTTCCATCTGTAGAGTTGGTGGGGAAAGAGCAGGGAGGAACGGGACAGCTCTATCAATGGCATGATGGACTGAGCGGCCTCACGCGATAACTCAACGACAGGAATCGATGGTACCCAGTCCACGCCGACTCCCATCAGGCACCCACCTCACTGTTACTATAACGTGCGAGCTCAGAGATGAAGCGGATGTGGTCGTCCCGAATCTGCACCATCTGCTCACAGATGTTGTACTGAGGGCTACTGCTGCTCTGCGTACATGTCCACCTGCACAGAGAGACGGAGCGTTAGATCCAGACCGTGAGAGCGAGAGAGAGAGAGTGTGTGAGAGAGAGGGGGGGGGGGGGAGGGGGGGGGAGGGGGGGGAGAGAGAAGGGGGAGAGAGAGAGAGGGGTACTGACTATAGACCAGCTCCTGACTGAGGAGCCACTGGGCAGGAGCAAATTTCGAGATGGCAGTATCAGTAGATTTGATCCCAATGATAGGAAGAGAGGAGGCTGTGGAGGGATTTGGAATCAAGGTTCAGAATTTTAAAACCAACAATGTCCAATGTAGGTCAAGGAGCTTGGAGAGAGGATGGGGAGTGATTGGAGAAACTGAATTTAGTACAAGGTCAGATGGTGAGGGAGCTGAGGTTTGGATGGTCTTCATGTTACAGATCATCGAATGTGGAAGACCAGCCGGGAGTGTGGTGGAATCATTAGGACTCGAGGCAACAAAGGCTTGAATAAGGGTTTCAGCAGCAAAGGAACCCAGTTTTTTTTAATTCAGTCACAGGATGAGGATGTCACTGGCCAGGCCAGCATTTATTGTCCATTCCTAATTGCCCAGAGGGCAGTTAAGAGTCACTAATATTGCTGTGGGTCTGGAGTCACGTGTAGGCCAGATAAGGTAAGGATGGCAATTTCCTTCCCTAAAGAGCATTAGTGAACCAGATGGGTTTTTCTGACAATCAGCAATGGGTTTGTGGTCATTGTTAGACTCTTAATTCCAGATATTTATTGAATTCAAATTCCACCATCTGCCGTGGCAGGATTCAAACTCGGGTCCCAGAACATTATCTGGGTCTCTGGTTTAACAGTCCAATGATAATACCACTAACAAAAACAAAGTTGCTGGAAAAGCTCAGCAGGCCTGGCAGCATCTGTGAAGGAAAAAACAGGGTTAACGTTTCGGGTCCGGTGACCCCACTAGGTTCAGTTCAGTTTCTCAATTTTCATTTTGAATAGGTTACCCTTAAACTGAGCTCCAGGAATGTTTGCTTTGATCATCAAACAATTTTCGACAGTGTTAGTAAAATTGGCCTGGGTCCTGGCTCTGAAATTCATTGGGCATCTTTTCAAATAGAAAATGGAATCTGTGGTATTTCACTGTCTGACAGCGTTCGCTCATTTTTACAACAAATTTATAACTGTCCAAATGATTTGCAACAGAACTTGGAATCGTAACTTAATGAACAAAATAGCAAATTACTTGGGTTTCCCAAATCCATCTTCAAAGGGATAGTTCCAGCCCCAGAAGTCACACTCAAGATAAGTAACCCATCTTGAGTGGTGGATCTGTCTCCACCACCACTCTTAGCAGTGCTATTCTAGACTCCTACCACTCTCTATGTAAAAATACTTGCTCCTCACATCTCCTTTGAACCTCCCCACCCCCCTCACCTTAAATGTATGCCCCCTAGTTTTAGACATTTCAACGCTGGGAAAACGATTCAGACTGTCAACCCTATCTATGCATCTCAAAATGTTATAGACTTCTATCAAGTCTCCCCTCATCCTCTGCCGCTCCAGAGAAAACAACCCGAGTTTTTCTGAGGAAGGGTCACCGGACCCGAAACGTTAATTCCGATTCTTTTCTTCACAGATGCTACCAGGCCTGCTAAGCTTTTCCAGCAACATCAGTTTTTGTTCCAAGTTTTTTTTTCTAGTTTCTCCTTATATAGCTCATATCCTCTAATCCAGTCAGCATCCTGGTAAACCTCTTCTGCACAATCTGCAGAGCTTCCACATCCTCCCTGTAATGTGGCGACCTTGCAGACTTCTCTCAAACACTGCCCTCCATAACAAAAACCCTGTTTTGTCAGAGGTATGCACTCCGAATAAAATAGCAGGAAAAACTGTTTGTAGAATTGTCGATCTGCAAGAGGAGGGGTTTGCGTCTTTCCTACGGGACGTGGGTGTCACTGCTAAGGCCAGTGTTTTTGCCCACCCCTAATTAACCTTGGATTGAATGGCCTGCTCAGCCATTTCAGAGGACAATTAAGCGTCAACAACGTTGCTGTGGGTCTGGAGTCACATATTGGCCAGACTGGGTAAGGGTGGCAGATTTCCTTCACAAAGGGACATGATTAAACCAGGTGGCTCCTTACGATATTCGATGACGGTTTTATAGAGATGGTTTTGCATTGGGACGTGATTCAATTAATTGAAATTCTACCACCTGCAGTGGTGGGAGCTGAACTGGAGCATCAGCCTGGGCCTCTGGATTACCAATCCGCTGATATAATCAGGAACAAAAACAAAGTTGCTGGAAAAGCTCAGCAGGTCTGGCAACATCTGTGAAGGAGAAAACAGAGTTAACGTTTCCGGTCTGGTGACCCTTCCTCAGAACTGATGGTGGCTGGGAAAACGTCAGTTTATATGCAGAAAATAGGGAGGTGGGTGGGGTAGGGAGTAAACAATAGGATAGAGCCCGAAGACAGAGAAAGACAGTTGGACAGACAAAGGAGTTGCTAACGATCAGGCTGGGAGGGTGAATAGTTGTTAATGGGGACTGTTAGTGACTAACAACAGGGGGTGTGTAATGGCAGGCTATGAGGCAACAAGGCCTGGTGTGTGGGGTGGTGGGCTCGGACATGGGAGAGTTTAGGCCCTAAAATTATTGAACTCAATATTGAGTCTGGAGGGCTGTAGGGTCCCCAAGTGGAAAATGAGGTGTTGTTCCTCCAGCTTGCGTTGGGCTTCACTGGAACACTGCAGCAAGCCAGAGACACAGATGTTGGCCAGGGAGCAGGGTGGGGCATTGAAGTGGCAGGCAACAGGTAGTTCAGGGTCTTTTTTGCGAGCAGAACGTAGATGTTCTGCAAAGCGGTCGCCAAGTCTATGCTTCATTTCCCCAATGTAGAGGAGACCACATTGTGAGCAGCGAATGCAGTAGACTAGATTCTTGGAAGTGCAGGTGAACTGTTGCTTCACCTGGAAGGTATGTTTGGGCCCTTGGATACTGGGGAGGGAGGAGGTAAATGCGCAGGTGTTGCACCTTCGCCGGTTACAGGGGAAGGTGCTGTAGGGCTGTGGGGAGGTGTTGGGGGTGATGGAAGTGTGGACCAGGGTGACCCGGAGGGAATGTTCCCTGCGGAAGGCGGACAAGGGAGGGGAAGGGAATATGTGTCTGGTGGTGGCATCTTGCTGGAGGTGGCGGAAATGGTGCCTGATGACCTTCTGGATGTGGATGCTGGTGGGATGGTAGGTAAGGATAAGGGGAACCCTACCACTGTTGCAGGAGAGAAGAGAAGGGGTGAGGGCGGAAGTGCAGGAAATGGGTCAGACCCGATTGAGGGCCCTGTCGATAACAGAGCTGGGGAAGCCTCGGTTGAGGAAGAATGTGGACATTTCGGAGGCTCCCTTGTCAAAGTTGGCCTCAGCTGAACATATGCGACAGAGACGGAGGAACTGAGAGAATGAAATGGAGTCTTTACAGGAAGTGGGGTGTGAGGATGTATAGTCCAGGTAGCTGTGGGTTTGTAATGGATATTAGTGGCCAGTCTATCCCCAGAAATGGAAACAGAAATGTTGAGGAAGGGAAAGGAGGTAGACCAGGTGAAAGTGAGGACAGAGTGGAAATTGGAGGCGAAATTGATGAAGTTTTCCAATTCCAGACGAGAGAGGGAGGCAGCACCGACGATATTATCCATGTATCGGAGAAAAAGTTGTGGGTGGGGGCTGGAATAGGACTTGAACAAGGAATGTTCCACATACCCCACGAAGAGACAGGCATAACTAGGGCCCATGCAGGTACCCATGGCATCCCCTCTTACCTGAAGAAAATGAGAGGAGTTGAAAGAGAAGTTGTTGAGGGTGAGGACAAGCTCGGCCAAGTGGAGGAGGGTGGTGGTGGGTGGGGATGGTTCAGGTCTTTGCTCCAGGAAGAAGCAGAGAGCCCTAAGACCCTCCTGGTGGGGAATGAACGTGTAATGGGATTGCACGTCCATGGTAAAGAGGAGGTGGCTGGAGCCGGTAAACTGGAAGTTTTGAAACCGGCGTAAGGCGTCAGATGAATCATGGATGTATGTGGGTAGGGATTGGACCAGGGGGGAGAAGACTGAGTCAAGGTAGGAAGAGATGAGTTCTGTGGGGCATGAAGCAGGCTGAAACAATGGGTCTGCCTGGACAGTCCTGTTTGTGGATTTTTGGCAGGAGGTAGAAACGAGCTGTGCAGGGTTGGGGAACTATTAACTTGGAAGTGGAGGGGGAGAGATCACCGGATATAATCACTTTACCAGCTCCCCGAGACCCATAGAAATGTGAAATCAAATAAGACGCTTCTGTGGCACAGCAGGGGGAGGGGACTGCTGGTGAGCTTCAAGGAGGTTGAGAGGGTGGATAAGTGGGGTTGGTTGTTAATGTACCAAGTAATTGAGTCAGTAATGGGGTTAATGGATTAATTAATTGACAAGGACAGATGTAAAGGGAGAGCAGACGGGATTTCGGTGAGCTGTAAGACTGAGTAGTACAATAAACTCTAATCACAAAGAAAGGGTTCCAAGTTTCCGTCTCCCCACTGGCTCGGATCCAGACTGATACTGGTGATCGTGTGAGCTGGAGGTGGGGAAAATGGCTCAAGAAACTTATCTTAGGGAATCACAATATTATGGTCTTTCTCTGCAGATTGACTCTCAAACTTACTGGCCCACATGAATCACTCAATTCTCCCAGGCTCAGTCTCCCTTAGGCCTTCATCCTTGACTGAGGGATACCTTGTGTTCTGTATAAGGGCCTCAGACAAACCATTAAATGCAGGACAATCCCCTAAAATACAGAACCGTTCACCATTGGATGCACAGTCACACAATACAGTTTCAGCCCCTTCAGGTGGCACAAAGAAATATTTTCCTGTGTGCCCCTAATCGAAGACCATTACCGAAGGAAGTTCTTGGCTTTTATGGACTATATTTGTTACCGAATTCAATGCTCTGAATTCTAACTAAATTCAAACAGAGGGCATAATCTCAGAATGCGGGATCTGCACATTTTAAACAGAGGTGAGGAGGAATTTCTTCTGAGGGGAGTGTACCGATGGAATACTTCACTGCACAGGGCTGTTAAGGCTGGGTCATTGAGTCTATTCAAGGCTGAGACAGGCAGATTTTTAATCAGTTAGTGAGGGAATCAAGGGGCATAGGGATAAGGCAGCAAAGTGGAGTTGAGGATTATCAGATCAGCCATGATCTCGTTGAACGATGGAGCAGACTCGATGGGCTGAATGGCCTAGTTCTGTCTCCTTAGGGTCAATGAATGGTTGAATGAAAGGGAAGAGTTGTGAGAAGAGATTAAACAAATCGAGTGTGGTTGGCGTTGTGAGGGATTTTATTTCATCCTGTGTTTTCAGATGACGGGGAGTTTTTGAAAATTTCCTCAAGAGTTTTGCTGTGTCAGCATTTCACCCAATAAGACACTCACTCTGTATAAACGATCACTGGTAAGAACGTGCTTTTGCTATTCACACAGTTACAACTCCACCCCAAGTCCTCCAGCATCTGCTCAGTGTGGCGTTAGTGAGCAGGAAAAGTTGAGGGCAGAGGGACGGACACAGGGAAAGGCAAGGGCTAGAGAGAAGCTAACACTGACCATTCCCACAGACAGAGATGTTACAAAAAGAGACTCCTAAAAGAGTGAAGCATTAATGAGGCCAGGGAACTGGAATCACTTAAAACACAGCCAGCGAGAGCCCTGGGATTGAGCAGTGTCAGAAGGAGAAGTAGCATTTACATGGCAACTTCCACAGCCGAGGATGTTTTAAACTGTTCTCGGTACACTGAAGCACTTATTGAAGCATTGTCATTACTTTAATGCAGGAAACACAACAACCATTTTTGACCCAGCAATCTTTCAAACAGCAAGGAGAACTGACCAGATATTCCATTTTTGTTTAGGTGCTGTTAGTTGAGAGACAAATGTTGACCCAGGAAAAGAGAGTAAACTCTACTGCTCTCTTTGTCATGTTGTTGGCATGACTTACGTTTCGTCTGAGAAGCAAGAACTCAGATTTTGATATTGCAGCTCTCTCGCAACACTGTCCTTTGCTGTATTGGCTTTATGACTCTGAGCGCGATGCTCCCTCAGCACCGACCCTCCGGCAGTGCGGTGCTCCCTCAGTACTGACCCTCTGACAGTGCGGCACTCCCTTAGTACTGACCCTCCCACAGTGCGGCACTCCCTCAGTACTGACCCTC